CGTACAATGCGACGTCGAGACAGTGCGTTGCCCCCGTCCCAGCTGTGTGCCAAAAGCTCAAGACGACCCAGGCCTGGGGCTGCGTCCTGCCAAAGCTCTAGACTCCACCACGTTCCCAATTTCGATGAGCATTTTTTGTACATGCAATTTCTCCATAGAATTACTCATGTCGTCGACACGCTGTTGCTTTCTTAATCTTGACGATGCATGGGCGGCAATCTGGCATGTCACCTCAGCACGATCCGCAAGTAGGTGGCACTGATCGTTTACCTCGATCCAGTGTGGACAACAGATGCCTCCTTGTAACAGTTCTACGGTACCGTTATGTGAGCTCATGTCAAAATCCTTCATTGGCATTGTAGTTGACCATCCAAAGGTTGGAGGCGACCTCACAACAAGTGGCCTGTATTGCTAGCGATTCTCCCCACGAAGCGCTTTAACTTTCCATGTTCATGTAGCAGAGCTAGATAGCATAACCATGCCAATTCATTCTTCATTTTACCTACTCCTTGCTCTGCGTGTGTCGCGCTACAACTGGTAGCACTACAAGTTCGTCCAAGAACCATGACAGCTTCCCACCAAGCGGTATACGACCGCATGGTTGACATCCTAGACAAAGGCGACACCCAGTGCTCTTGTCTCCCCACTCCGTCGATGCCCCAGTGCGACTTGATGGCATCAGCATCACCCTCAACGCAACGATACAACCCCTCGAAGCTTGAAGCACGAAGCACGTGTGGTTTTTGTTGCCCTATCCATCTCAAGGGTCAGGCGGAAAATTGGGCGTACTCCATCTGCCTGACCAACCCCACGTTATTTGCAACGTTTGACGACCTCGTTGAGGCGATGAAGCTCCGATTCCTTCCCCAAAACAGCGATTTCCAATGTCGCTCCAAGTTCCTCGCATGCAAGCAATGCAAACGCTCCTTGCTTGCTCTACATTCACGACATTCGCCTTTTTGGCCGCGAATGTCCACGACGACTCCACGCTACCGGAAGCGCTCCGCGTCAACGTCTTCATGGCCGGACTCAACCACGGTCCGGCACGTACACTGCTATTTCGAGTCTATCCAGCCTCGTTCGAAGAGGCTGTTCGCATAGCCCTAGCTGAGTCGTCTCAGCCCTAGCACGCAATCGTACCGATCCATCCTATATGGATATCGCGGCATTATCATATACCAACGGCGGCAAGTGCAGTAACCGCAAGGGTCACTTTTGGCGTGAGTGCCGCGCCTCTCGACGCACACTCACTTTCTCTACACAAGACGCGCGATCCGACTCAGCTGACCGCCGCCCGAGCAATCGGAAAACCTCTTACGGTGGGCATCCCCCAAGACAATTCACTGGGCCACCTGGTCGACCTGACCAGCAGGTGGCGGGAAACGAAAAGACCCACTAGGCGCGAGGCGCACTACTGGGGCACCAATAGGTCCCCCGAGGTTTGTGGTGCTGTATCACACTCGGGTGATCTAGCCTCGAACACAAACTTTCATCTGTTCCGCGTCGGGTTTCGCCTCAACAACATGGTTACTGTGTCTCTTGCCGTGCCGGGTTTTCCCACCGGGCTCACTGTATTGATCGATTGCGGAGCGTCAGCACACTGGGTCAACCGCTCCACTCTTGATCGCTTTGGTTCTCTCCCCGTATTAAACTCCCCTGACATAGTTCGCGTAAAGATGGCCGACGGCCGCATCTCCGCCCAGCAGAGTTTAGTGGTTACGCTGCCTGTTGCCTTCGACGGTTTCGATTCGCTCGAAACGTTCTTTGTGGTCGATTTGGATGAGCGACAGGACCTCATCCTTGGAATGGCTTGGCTTGAATCCAATTAACCATGGATCGATTGGAAGCTCAAAACCATCCACAAGGTCGTTTGGCTGAACACTGATCAGCCGTGGATCCAACGACGCGCCGCTGATAAGGCTTCACAGCCTTCGGCGATATCCGTGGCCACTGCCCTCACGGCGATGAGTAATGAACTCGCCGCTGATACAGCACCAGTGTGCTCGTTGGCCCCAGCACACTTGCCTTCGCAGCACACGGCGGCAACCTCATCCCGAGAGGTTGCACCCTCGTCTGCTAGCTCTACAGCAGACGCCGCCGTCGTATTTACAACTCCCATCGATCCACCTCTTTCCCATATATCTCCACCCTCCAACGCCCCTTCAAACGTGTTGGGATCAAATTCACCAGTCGCGTCGCCTTGTTCCCGCGACGCCTATCTCAACTCCGCAAATTGTCAATGCGATGAGTTCATTCAGCCTGCTTGCAACCTCGATGAGTTGCCTCAATCCTCGTCCGACATCCTGGCATTGCCAGAGATGAGTTATAGCTCCTTCTTGAAGTCCCTCCGTTCGCACGACATCGCGTGCATAGCAATGATCACGTGCGATGAAGACGTCGTCATTTTGTCCTCGTGCACTGCAGACGAATCTGTCCTGCCCAACCCAGCGGAGTCCCAGACGTACGCCTCCCTCTGCTAGAATCCGTTCTTCGATCTCTTTGACGAATTCAAGGATGTATTCCCGACGACGTTCCCTGTCACTACCCGTCGACAAGGGTATATATACGCCACGAAATTGACCTCGTGCCCGGCACGAAGTATTGCGTTACTCGCCAATGGCCGCTTCCACGTGATCAAGTCAAAGCGATCGACACCTTCTTTGCGGCTCGTATAGCCGCCGGTCATGTACGCGAATGCACGTCCCCATACAGCAGCCTGACATTCTATGTGAAGAAATCTAACGGCAAATGGCGGATTTTCACGCCTTTAACAAGCTCAACGCCGCGATCATTCCGGCGCAAACACCGATCCCCCGCATAGACGTAATACCGACGACGGCATGGGTCGATAAACTATATTCTCGACCATCGATCTTCGCGATGGATTCTATCAAATTCTCATGTGCCTTTGTGACGTGCCAAAGACCGCCGTCTCGATACCAAGTGGAATGCTTTGGGAATGGCTCGTGATGCCCCAAGGCCTATCCAATGGCCCTGCGACCTTCAATCGCATGGTGACGGCCAAGTTCCGCCCGCTTCGCGACTTTGCCCCGTCCTGCTTTGACGACATCTACATCCATAGTCGCGGTTCTGCAACCGAGACCGACGTCGAACTCACCGTCGGCATCATCGTGCGGTTTTTACCGTCCTTCGTGAGAATCGCTTGTACGCCAACCTCTCCAAATGTCTGTGGGAGTCGATGAAATCCCTGTCCTTGGAGACCCCGTCGGCATTCGTGGTTGTCGGGCTGATCCTGACAAAGTAGACCATCATGGACTGGCCAGTCCCCTCCTCGGTTAAATACCATCGCCGGTGGCTTGGCTTGGCTACTTACCTCCACAAGTACTCTCGTGGTTTTGCTGACATCGCGCAACCCATCTTACGGTTGCTAGTCAAGGATTCCCCATGGGTTTGGTCGAGCAACTGTCAGTTCGCCTTTGACACCCTTAAATCTAGAATCAAGAGCGCTCCAATTTTGGCGCTCCCTGACTTTTCCAAGCCGTTCAGCGTCGTGTATGACGCCTCCCAATTTGCCATCGGTTGTTGCTTAATGCAACCTGACGCTGTTGGTCTCTGGCGCCTTGTATCCTTTCAAAGTCGCCAGCTCCAGGCCGCCGAGCGCTCGTACCCCGTCCGCGATCTCGAACTCCTTTCGATCAAATACGCCCTCACCAAGTTCCGCGTCTACCTCATCGGCGCGGACCCCTTCGTCGCGTACATCGACCACGCGTCGTTGCGAACTGCCGTCAACACGCCCCACATGTCAGCCCGCATGGCTCGCTGGCTTTCCTTCTTCGCCGAATACAACTTCTCGGTTCAATACAAACCAGGCAATGACAAAGTTTTGACTGACGCTCTCTCTCGGCGTCCAGGGTACTCCTCGCCTGTGGACCTTGCCTCGATCGGATTCCTCCACGCCGATTTCCATGACCGTATCCGCGCTGCCTATTCCTTCGACACGACCTGCTCGGTCGTGTCAGTGTCCTCACCACCCCCTGCCGCTCAAGCCTCGGCGATCACCGTGCTTACTCCATCGATACTCTGTTCCAGATGGCCTGCTCTACTTCCAGCCCACCCAGGACACATCTCCGCACATTGTTGTCCCTGGGGATTCTGCGATTCGTGCCTTTCTTCTGCGCGTGTATCATGTCCCAGTGGTGGCCATTTCGGCCGCGACAAAATGTACGCTGCGTTGTCCCGTTGGTATTGGTAGCCTCGCCAATACAAAGCTGTTGCCTGCCATGTCGCCGGTTGTGACTCTTGTCAACGCACCAAGGTCGCGTCTTCCTCGCAGGCGCCACTATAACCTTTACCGATACCTGATGAGCTCTGGTCATCGGTCATCATGGACTTTATGTTTGGTCTCCCGCGTGACGCTCATGGTCACTCAGGTATCATGGTTTGCGTCGAGAGGGCGTCCAAGTGCATCACGGCCGTCCCTGTCAAGGAGTGCATCAGCGGCGATGATGCCGCTCGCCTTTTCTATGATCATGTCTTCTATCGCTTTGGACTCCCGCGGTTCATCATATCAGACCGCGATCCCCGTTTCACCTCCTACTTTTGGTCGGCTCTGTTCGAGCTCTGTGGCAACAACCTTGCCATGTCTACGACTGACCATCCCGAGTCGGATGGTCAGACCGAACGTGCCAACCGCGCGCTTGAGGATATTTTACGCGCGTACTCCGTGGAACAACCTTCTGCCTCGTGGGCCACGCACCTCCTCCACGTCGTCGTTGCGTACAACAAGCCCAGGCTTCCACCGGCGTCTTACCCCACTATGCTGTCCACTTACAGCACCCTCGTACCCCTCAACTCCTCTACAGTCCCGTTTCAGGGGGGAGAAGCTTCTGCTATTTCTCCGGTGATCGAAGCCATCGCCGAAACCCACGACCTTCCAGCGCGTTCCGTCCAGGACTTGACGGACTTCCTTGCCCATTGTAAATCTGTGTTGCGACAGATCAAGGACAACCTCGCGCTCGCTCAGCAGCGGCAGGCGACGCAATCCGACCGCCGTGGTCGTTCCAAATTGGCAACCTTTTCTCTCGACGATCTTGTCCCCTTTCACAAATCGGCCCTCCCCGGTCACGATTTTCGTGCACGCGCCCCTGGAGCCAGCGCGAATGTCAAACTGCGTTCAACTTGCCACGGCCCGTTTGCCCTTCTTGATGTCGTGAGTTCGACTTCCTACAAACTCGAACTTCGCAACGATTGGAACGTGCACCCGAACTTTTACGTCAGTAAACTTAAACGTTATCACGCGCCTACACATGCACCTCCTTTGACGCTCTGACTCGAACGAAACAATCATGCCTTCCGCGCGTCTCTGAGCCCTTCGACCCCAGAGCCACTGGCCATCACGGCTGCGATGCTCGTGCGCATGCATCTTCTTCACGTTGCCAGACGATCGAAAGATCCTCAACCCATGCCGTCGCTCCGTCGGCTGCTCCAAGACCCGTGGTGCGCGTTACTTGGTGCCCGTTACGATCGCTACGTTGACACTCGCCGCCTTCTAAGCTTGCATGGTTCCGCACCAGTAATGACATGGCGAGAGACAAGATCCATCCTGAAGAAAGTCCGATAGTATTGTATTTAAATACAAAACTCATTGAAACAAACACAGTACTAGACAGTCACCGTGGAACGCATTGGGTCAAACAATCGGGCGACCCAACTGCCCTGCACAGCAGAACACACGCCAACCTAGGGAGACATACGTAGGCGATCATGTCTGAGACATGATCTTCTCTATGGGCGGCGCGCCACTTACGCAGCACGACCGATATGTCATCAAGTAGGTTCTCGTCCGGCTCTCACGATGACTCCTCGGCATCTAGGCCGGACCACTTGACTCTGACTTTATAGCGGCCGTCTACCGCCAAGTGCGCTTCTTTTGGGCGCTCCACATGGAAACTACCATCGCCAAATGCGATCTGTTCAACGAGGTCTTCTGTGACCTTGCATCCGCCTTCATGGTACATCTTCAGACGGCACGCATGCTGCGTGGGCAATCCGAATGGAGACACCGGCAGTTGAGTCTCCATAACGTGGTCCTTGAATACGCGAAAAAACCAACTTGGTCTGACACGC